AAAAATAGTAAGCTACCTTTACAAAGTGAAACAAACATCTCCCAGGTCTAATGGCTGAATTTTCTTAAACCCATGCTACCTAAAGGGAAAAGTCTTTAAATCTGTATTAATAGTAGTAGTTTTAAGATGTTAGAGACCAATTTGCTTGCTGTTGCCAGTTAACCAGTACGAGTTAGAACTTACTTTTACGTATACCATTTGAAGTAGTTCTTAGAAAGAAAAAAAAAACACACCACTTAATTAACCATTTCTACACCATAGTGCTAAGCCAAAGCCTCAAGTATGTGAGACTTTTTACGTATACCATTTTAAAGTAGTTCTTAGAAAAAAACCCCACACTATTAATTAACCATTTCTACACCACAGTGCTAAGCCAAAGCCTCAAGTATGTGAGACTTCTCTCTAAACTAAGAATAAGCTCAACAAATTAAGAAATTTGTTTATTTCCTTAATTGAAGCGTGGAGTGCAGGGAAGCGTTTGGGTGGCTAGAAGTCATCTTTACAGAATGCTGTGAAGGACAAAACCAGAAGTATTTATTTCCTAAAGAAAACTGTGTTAAGCATCTTCTAAAAGAAATCCTGCAATGAGCTAGTGTAACAAAGCACAGGTATCTCCTACTTCTGTCTCCCGCATACAGGGTGGGCCTTGTGTGTGCTCTCACCGCAACAGAGACCACTCCAGAAGGGCAGCTCCAGCACAGATGCCCTGGGAAAACCCAGGTAGGGGGTAGTGACAGTGGGAATGTGCTTGTAGATTGCCTGGCAAATCTCTAGCCTCTGTTTTGTTGAGGATTTCAGTTAATTTCTTTCCTCAAAATCCAGTTCCCTGCCACCCCAGTACCTACACATTCCCCATCTCCTGAAACCTTCTCTGTGTCAGGTGCTCAGTTCTACCCATTACTGGACTCGATTCTGTTGCTGTGAAACATCTGGGAGGAGCTGAGCAGGAGGAAAGATGGGCTGCAACCTAACCTGGAGCTAGTAAGGGGAAGGGAGGAAAGCGGGTTCTCAGAGGGAGACGTTCTTAGGAGGTTAGGAGTTTCTAACTCCGAGGGTTAGAAACATCAACCAAATAAGTAACATCTCCAGAAACCCCTGTCCTGGGTAAAAGGTGTAATTATCCATCTCTCTCTGTTCCAGCCATCTTAGCTCACCTTTGTTTTGGGAAAACAGTTTGGGCTTGATCCTAACAGCTGACTATCCAACACCACTGAAAAGCCCCGCTAGGATCCTGCAGCAAGCAAGCAGGAGTTACTACTTCTGGCTGAACAGGTTGCTTGAAAATTCAGGTTTTACAGTTGCAAAGTTTTACAAACAATTTTACTGATGCAGTGTTTGCATAATACAGTAAGTGTAAGTAAACAAATACTTTTCCATAAGTAAAACATGATTAACATCATTAGAGCTTATGTACTGGGATAGATTGCACCTGATTGCTGTAGGCAAGATTCTTGCAAGCAAGAACTCCTCATCGCTTGTAAACACGTGTTTTGGTACTCAGGTATGCATCTCCAGCCAAAACAGAAACTGTTAAGTTGTCTTGGAAGCTCTCAGTAAGAAAAAGTAAGCAGACCCCATTCTAATCAATCAAACTACTGCCTTTTAAAAAGATCAGAATGCTATCAGTCGCCTCATATTAAATAAATTTGAAACAATCACCTTAATTAGCCTTCATTTCCATAATTACTGATCTCAGAGAATAGTTTTGCAAAGAGGAAGAATAATCAACTGACTAGAAATATTATGCACAAAGCACCAGCAGAGTTTGTTCATTTTTTTAATAAAGGCTAATTAAGCAATTAATGCTCTAATACAAACAATTAGTAATGGATTTCTAAATATTTTTTTTTCTACAGAACCCAGTTTTTTATCCTCCAGAGCTATTATTTTGATAGCTTCATGGGGGAAAATTATGCCAGTCCAGTCTAAAAAGGCCACCTCAATACAGGAGCGCAGAGAGATTTCAAAAATCTTTTACAGTTGCAGGTTTTTAATCAAAGTGTATAAAATTTAAGTCTAGAAAAATAAGTATAGATTGTATACAGTTACTGTGCTCGGAGACTGAAGAGGACAGTGCACCACTCAAATGGCACAGGCATACTGAAAAATGCAGATGAGAGTATTCCTTCAAACTGTTGGTGTGCTTTGTGTTTTCTTTTTTTTTCCCTGTCTCATACTTTCAGCCTAAATAGGTGCAAAAAGTATCGTTAGGTGGGAAGCCTAGTTGCTGGCAAGGGACTGATGAATAGGTGGCTGGAAGCAGCGCACGTGTTCCACGGGTGTGCTCTCTCCATCGCCCGACTTCAAATACTTGTCCAAAATAGCAATTATTTCATCATTCAGAATCTGGAACTTGCGAATTCTCTCAACCATTTTCTTCAAAGGCTGCAAACATTAAAAAAAAACCAGACACGCGGGAATTAGCTTTGGAGATAAAACGCCTTGGACACAAAAGCAGCAAATGCTGTCACCTCACCTCTCCCAGCAACATTACGAATGTTTCCCTTCCACTGCTAATCCAGTGAAAATCCAAGGCGCACGTTGGGTTTTGACAACGCTGCTTTTTGTACAAAAAAGGGCAATTTACAGCAGCCTTGTCATAACCTGAATGCACATATATGAGATGGAAAGCATCAAGAAAATACCACGTATTCAGGAAATCAGAATTCTCACTGAGCCGTCTTCAAACTCCAGTAGCAAGGCCTTACTCTTTTGCTACTAAAAACCCCTGTGCCCTCGTTTTCAGTGTTTCGATCTAAAAAGCGATTGCTATATTTGCACCGCATCCAAGTACAAACAGCTCTGACTTACTGTTGTCTTTATTACAACAGCGATTACAGATGTTTTCAACTCACCACATTCTTTATAACCTCATCTTTGCCGTCATGCTTTTGGACTTTCAACAGGTGGTAGCAGAAATCCAAGACATCAAAGCGCCGCTGCTGCCCCAAAAGCACGATGATCATACAGCCAGCCCAGTGCAAGCCGTCTCCAAAGCACTGCCTGAAAGAGGAAACATATCCACATAAAGCACATTGCACCTAAATCTTCAGAAACACATCCACAGGAAATGCTCAGTAGTCAGCCATTATACAAAACTACATATGTATCACTCTAGAATATGTTAGACATTAATCTAGAAATACTGCAAAATCTCTAGTAAATAATTAAGTTCCCCTTCCAGATACCACAAGCAATTCTAAAGGATGCTTAACAAAAAAACAGATGCGCCTCCCCACCGCCCCAGTTTTACACACCGCAATTACTTGGAAAACATTTACTCCCCACTGGACTCCAGCAGCATTACATTTCATTTCCAAAGGCAATGACACTTTCAAACCAAACAAATTGGGAATTCAACACCACTCTGCTCCTTTGGGCTGCCGGCAAGGAAGGAAGCAAACGTCCTGTGCTGTTGCCTCCATGACTGCTCAGTGAAAAGCATATTACAGCTCAACAGTTTTCAAAGTAAGGATATTATCAAAATTAAAACCAAGAACTACAGCTCCTGGTTAACGTTAACCTCCAAGTGCTCATTCTTGCTTCTAATTCAGAGAAGACAGAAACGCATGCACTGATGTTTCAGCTTAAGTTCAGCAGCCGTAGGGGTCTGACTACTACCAAAAGACATGTGCTGGGGCCTTTTTGTCGTGGGATCATTCATTATACAGTGGCAGTATTAAAATACAGGGTTATTTCTGTTAAAGACACAATAACGCCTGTGTTCATGGATTACGAGCCCCTCCCAGCGATCGCAGCACTTCCCCTTGTTTTGGCACTGAGCTCTCACAGAGAGGCAAACAAACGCCTCCCTTCCGGGCCCCCCCGGCCTGTTGGACTGGGGAGGACAAGCAGAGGACTGTTGCCCGCGGGTGGACCGCCGGCAGCTGGCAGTACGTACTCCACAGTGAACTCGTGCGTTCCCACAGGGATGCAGTAGACGAACTGCATCGCGCTCCAGAGGCGATGGAATTCCACGCACTCGTCCACGTGCATCACCCCGTTGCTGGGCAGGGGCCCGCGCCAGATGGGGTCATCCAGGAAGGAGCGGATCCTCGTCAGGATAACCTCAAACATGGACAGGCCGCAGCAGAGACGTTCTTTGGTCAGCAAGTCCCCTTCCCTTGCAATCGCTATTTGCTAAGGTGGAGAGAAAAAGTGCAAAATCCCGGTAAAAGCCACTTGACCACAAGACTTCATTTAAAACAAACAAGCAAACAAACAGAAACCACCACCACAAAAACCACCGCCACATTTTTTAGTTTCACTCAGTTTATTCTAGGAGATACTTTTCCCGACTTTAAGTGAGGTTAGAGGCCACTAACCTGGGGTTCATTTCAGTGGAAAAAAACATTCAGAGAAAATTGTAAAAGCCTTTTCAAGCAGACAGGCTTGAAAAGTAAGTAACGCTAACTGCAGTAATGCTAATCCTGGACTAGTCCCAGGGAAGTTGAAAGAATTCTTTGCCTGAATGGAGGCAGAAAGCAAAACCAAAGAATTCAGTGCTCTGCTGCTAGCGCGGGCAACAGCTCCTGCCTGCCTCCCTCTGCTGCTGTTGTTAGCGGGTGGGAAAGCTCCAAAGAGAGCACGAAGGGGCTCAGACAAACCCCTAAGCAGCATCCCGGGTTAGGGCCTGTGCCGTCGCATTGAGAGCTCTCTCCTGCAGCGCAACAGCACCCACAGAGCTGCAGCGCATATGATGGTAACCGCAGTCTGAAGTCTGCTTCAGAGCCCTCCGCTCTTAGTTTCTACTGCTTGCATCTCAATCACTTGTTAACTGCTAAGCTTAGCAGGGGATTAACGTACCCCTCACACCAAGAGAAAGAGAAAATAGTGTTGAAGCTGCAAAGGCAGTTCAAGAACGTTCTCGTTGGTCATTGCGTTTCCAGGAAAGCTCAACTTGGCTCACTTTCCAAGAGTTTCTAATCACCTGGCTGAGAGGGGAATAAATTGGTTGGTTTTTTTTAAAAAAAATAAAATATATATATATATATATATGTGCACAAGAAAACTGATTGCTTTTGGTGGAATTTGCACTAGCACTTCCCAGGCTGGCCAGTACAAGGAGGGTATCGCACAGCAATGTACATACAAATCAGCATTTTCCCCAGAACATGGCAATTCCACCCCAGTCTTAAATGTTTTAAACTCCCGAGCTTTAACAGCTTTAACAGCTCCGTGGATCTGAAAAAAATCCTGTTGTGTGAACAAGCTGGGCGCACAGGTTGAAGTTCTGACACAGCTATCAGCACGTGTGAGAGGACAGGCTTTTTGGTGCTCAGATATTTCTTGAATTGCCTCCGACACAAATGAGAGAAATTACCTGGGGTGTTCCTAGTCTTTCAATGAGAGGAACCAAATGTAGTGGAGCGTATTTTGATTCTAGCCTCTTCATCTTAGCATCGAGTCTCTCTCTCTCTGAAAGAAAAAAAAAAAAAAAAAAAAAAAAAAGAGAGACCACTGATTCATTTAATTGGTAGCCAACTTAATTCTATACATTGAAATTAAGCAAGAAAATACTTATTTTTACACGGTCCTTATTCAGTGCAGTAGAAAACTGGGTAGGTTATTTTTATAGGTCTAAATAGTTGGGTAATCTTCAATGGGCTTTTAGAAAAATACATATTTATATTTTAAAATGTTTCATTTTATGTGCAAACAAAAAGAAACCAAGGATAGAGGAATACATTTAATTAACTAAATTGAAGACCAAATATAAGGCTCTATTATGCTGCTGCTGCTAACAGATTTGACTCCCACTTGTGCTAAGCCAACTAAATTGTCCTTATCATACATAAAATGCTTGACTCTAGAAGGTGGGGTATAATGAGGGTGACATTCTGTGTGTAACAAGGCTTATAAAAGCAGTTGGCACCCCCTTATCACTGGCAAGTAGGAAACATTCTCAGGCAAATGGGAAAACACCATTTGCAATGGTCGGGCGAGTTTTACGCAGAAATGCAAGTAGCTACAGTGAGTCTGGAAAGATTCTCCAAGATTTTTAGCTGATGGGATTTCTCCTAGCAGAACAAATCAGCTGCTCTGGCAGCAAGAAACGGCAAGGAAAGGAGAGAGGAGCAACACAGAATGAAGCGAAGCGTGAGGGGAAAAATAAGCTCACTTTCTGGTGATGAAGGATGAGGAATGCAGGTATCAGAGGAAGCAATCCTGCACACACTCACCACTGCGTGCCCAGTTTAGTAAAAAGGCACGTGAAGTCTACTGGGACCAGGGACCACTTGTATTTGCTTACTCTGCTGACAGACTTCCTATGCCCTGTATGATCAAGCCTACCCCACTTAATTGACAATCATATAAGCTAAACAGCACCTTCAGAAAAGCCTCTCACCATACCCACAGAGGGGTCGTACTGCCCTGGGCATCCATCCCACTGTTCCCTGTCACAGTGTTCCTCCTCTTCCCCTTGTAATTTCCACTGAGCCTCGCTAAGAAGCGCGTATTTTTCAGCCAGGCAAACAGGCCTGAATCTGTTACCTCTGTCCCCTAATTAACAGCGGTGTTGTAAAGGATGGCTGGGGACGGTCACCGAAACCACAGCAGCAGGCAAGACAAGAGGAAAGCATTACCCACAGAAGGTTTTTTTCACTTAGCCAATACCTTTGACGTGAACTCTGGGCAGGATGTTTTGGAACGGTGCTGCGTGCAACAGGTCACACACTTCCTCTAGGGACTGGAACAAAAAGGAAA